TGTGCAGAGCTGCTGGCCCAGTCTGCTGGGGGCAGGACAGGGCAATGTCACCAATGCCAGGCCTTGTCGGCTCCCTTCCTGGGAAATCTGGGGTGCTCTGCTCTCCAGGCAAAGGGGAGAGTATACCCTGCCAGCAGACCCCATCCCAACACCCCAGACCTGTGAGGTGCAATCTGATTGTTTTGGCAAGTTGGGCTGTGATGAGGATAGTAGGGGGGTGGCCAACTAAAGCCCAGGACTGGAGCTTTTCATATTTATAGAGGCTCCACTCAGCTCCCACACAGTCCCCTCTCTTTTAGCCACCTGTTCTGGCTTTCCCACTTGTGTGAAGCCCCTGCAGGCCTCCCTGGCGGTCAGCAGAGCTGGTTAGCAGGGGCTGGAAGCCTTGGGTGAGCAGCTGTCTTTCTCCTCCCCTCGCTCCAGCAGGAGGAGCATCAGGACAGACACCTCTGCAGCCAGACCCCAGCCAGACTGCAGCCGCTGCTCCAGCATCTAACAATAGCCCTGGGCAGGGCCCCACATGGGGCTGGGCAAAGTCCTGGCCAGGACCTGGCTTCCCCAGGCACAGAAAGGGCAGGACTTTCCATCCTGACCACAGGGTCTCTGAGAGCAGAAGACACAGGACAAATAAGCACCTGTTTACACAGGTGTGCTGGCTCAGGGGAATTTACAAGGAGGCAAATTCCCTCTCCTTAAAAAAAAAAGCTCATGTGACACTTAGCATTTCAAGAGCCCTGAAGATGGGAACGATGGCGTTTGGTAGAAAGGAAGGGGAGGGCATCATCCTGACCTAGGAAGCTGTGCATGGGCCTGCGCCCCAGAACAAAGCTGAGGGCCAGTCTCCTGAAGCTCTCCTTGGTTCAGCTGGCAAATGGACCTGTCCCACCAGAATGCCCCTGGGCTGAGGACCCCTGGCTGGTCTCAGAACTGGTGCCCCCTAAGCTTTTGGTAGATAGCTGGTCGTCCGTGTGACCAGGACTTCGATGCTCTTCTGTTGAGAGCAAAGTCAGATTCCCATCTCGAGGCGTGTTCTGCTAGCCAAGCAACTGGACGGTCGAAATTTGAGTGCATATTCTCAGGGCAAGGTCCCCCAATTTCAGAGCCACAAGGAGAGACATGGGAAAAGGAAAGCAATGAAAAGGCCCATTCAACTGGCCCCTTCTACCCACAAAAATGGGCTCCAACACCTCCTCCTCTCTCCTGCCCAGTGTCCCAGGTTCGGAGCTGCACGTGGAAGGCACTCGCGAGGCCAGAGGTTTAATATTCGGCCAGAGGTTTAATATTCGGTGCTTTGGGGCCCACCCCCCTTCCCGGCCCCTCCAGCAGGGGCTCAGCACATTCACATGTCTCCCCCGCCAGGCCAGGCGCTTGCCCCTGGAGCACCAGGCTTGGTCTCTGGTCTTCAAATTTCTCATGAGCACTGGGTGAACCAGTTAAACGAGTCTCGACTTTCCTAAGTTGTTGTGTTTTTTAAGTCTGGCAGGCAGCTACTGGAGGCCTTCCAACCTGCCGCTCAGGCCAACCCTCATAATAAGAAAAATACTACTCTCTATCTGCCTCATTTAGGAGGTTCCTAAGTTTTCCTTTGGTGGTTAACTAAATTTCATGTTATATAACTACCATAAATTTTCTAAAAATTTCCCCAACTGGTGCCAGCAACTGCAGAAGTGTGTGTGAGACAGGGGAAGTCTCCAGGGGAGTGACCAGGAGTTCCAGTGAATCTTCATACAACAACGGAACTTCTCGCTCCACCCTCTAAGAACGCCTCACCTTGCCCCCTTTACAGAAAGATTCTAAAAGCTCACCTCTCATAGACTCTTTAAGTATCTCCACATTTTTTTTTTAATTAGAAAAGGTAATGTGAAGCAGGTGAGGCTGGGATGATGGGACATCACGGGCAAACATGTTACTGACACACACAAAATAAACTCAGAGCTTCCGACTTGGGAGCTTTGGCCTTCGCCCCCCGACAGGCTTGTGCTTTACCTGAGCTAGAGCAGGCCCTAGTTATGCACTGGAGACTTCCACTCCACGTACAGCCCTGGGGGCAAACACTTTCCTCTCAGCTGGAAGGTTTAGGTGTCTTCAGAAAAGACAAAGACTGGACATGCCACCAAAGCTTCCTTTTCACATTAGTAGTGTCCAGGGAGGGGCCGGCTGTTGTTTTTAAAGTACCTTCATCACCCACTGGGAGAACTGGAGACAACTGGCCTCTCTCTGTCTCTGGTGCTAAAGGACTGGCTTTTACAGAAACTAGGGCTTGGGTTTAAAGCCTTCAGTTCCCATACACAGAGACACACGTGTACACACAGACACAGACATACACACCCTCTGAGGAGGTGCCCACTCAAGGACAAGGGGAAAATTAGGACTAGTGCAGGGACAGCAGTGGCTATGCCTCAGGCTGGCTGGCCAACCTCCCCTTCGTCTCAGGGGACCTTGACTCCCAGGCCTGGTCTCCCCGGCTCTTCCCTGAAGCAGCTGGTGGGGAAGAGACGGAAGAGATGGACGGGCAGCACCGGGCACTCAAGTGCTGACATGGAGGAAAACAGGGACACCTAGGGGTGTCCCAGGAAGTTCTCGGGCAGAGGATCTAGAGCCCCTCACCTTCCCCGTTCTCCACAAGGGTGTGTGGGAAACTCCTCACTGGCTGGCCCCAGGAGCACTCTGTCCTCCGCAGCTGCTCTCGAAAAGTTCTCCCTGATGACTCCAAGAGCCAGGTTCTCGCAGGCCAAGCCTCCTCTGAGGCGTCTTTGTGTTCTTAACTACAGCAAAGGCAGTATCTATGGAGAACCCTCCCCAGCAACCCACAGGACAAAAAGAGGTCTTCATGAGGCCTCCACACATGTGGGAAAGAAGTGAATAAGGTTTTTGAGGCTGCGACTGGGGAGGGCCACAAGACGCAGGGAAGGATCCTTTCCCTCTGTGGTCCCAAGCAGAGATGGCTAACGGGGACAAAGCTGAGCTTGAGCATCTCGACACAATGCACACGTGATGACAGATTCAGGGACACAGTTGCAGTCAGACCAGGGGAAAAGGAAGGCTGTCCACTGGGGAGGAAAGGGGCTTCCCAGATACCAGGTAGGATATAAAAGGGAAGGAAATGCAGGGGGCAGGGACAGAGCCATAACCTGTCCTGCGCTGGTCCTTCAACCTGCGCAAAGGTTAACAGGCTGCATGTAGCTGAGACAAGTAGGTAACGTGCCCGCTTGCATCCAGAATCTTCTGGCTGAGCAAGTAATTAAGAAATAGGAGAAGGCTCTGGGACCATGAGCCCTGCCTAGGCTAATGTTGTCGGGGGGAGAGCCCACGAGCCCATCTGGCAGTGAGGAGGCTGCGGGGTGGAAGCCCAAGGACGTCTGCAAGAAGACTCTCCCCTGGAAGTGGTCATCGTCAGGACCCGGGTTAAACGATCCTGTCCTCAGACTCTTGGAAATCCCAGCACTCTTTTTCTAAGAACCCTACTATGACTTTAGTCTGAGAAGGCAGGCCCGGCCCAGAGTTGGAGGCACCTCTGCTCAGATCCACTGCCTGTTCTCACAGAGGACGCAATCCTCTGATGAACAGGGTTTGGAGATCAAACCGAACAATCAGAATGGAAAATCAGAGAGCCACCAGCAGCGCAGGTTAAGCAGCACTGAGGAGAAGTCAGTATATTCTGAAAAACTGCAGAAAGAAACCTCTGGATGGTCTCGCATCCTTCATGGCAGCTGTAACTTCCTAAGCACTGACCACATGCCAGGCTCTGTACTAAAGGGTTTTACCTGTAATATCTTACTCAGTTCTGATGATCCTATCAACCAAGTATTGTTAGCCACATTTCCTGGACCAGAAAACCAAGGCTCTGCTAAGCCAAGCAACTTGTCCAAGATTATAGTCAGTGAGTGGTAGAGGGAGATTGAAACTCTGATTAGCTGGACTCCAACTCCTTAATCACAGAATACCAGGGAGATATTGACACTCATTTTGTCCCCAGAGATGCCATGCTAGGTTGACTTAGGAGTCACGGAGTCCCCTGCCCCTGAGATCCTATCCCCTGTGGTATTCACTGCTGAGCTCTGAAGCAGCCTCCAAGGTAGGAGGCAACATGCCCTGGTGGAGCAGTGAGGCAGCCCGTCAGCAATCTTTCTTTTTCTTTTTTTCTTGAGACAGAGTCTTGCTCTGTTGCCCCAGCTGGAGTGCAGTAGCATCATCGTAGCTCACTGCAACCTCAAACTCTTGGGCTCAAGTGATTCTCCTGCCTCAGCCTTCTAAGTAGCTGGGACTATAGGCACATGCCACCATGCCTGGCAAATTTTTTCTATTTTTTTTTTTTGGTGGAGATGGGGTCTCGCTTTTGCTCAGGCTGGTCTCGAACTCCTGAGCTCAAGTGATCCTCCCACCTTGGCCTTCCCAGAATGCTAGGATTACAGCCGTGAGCCACTGCGCCTGGCTTCTGTCAGCACTTACAATCCCTAAAAAGTGTCTTAGTGTTGTACTCACTCCCTCAAGTTCTCTACTGTGGACAGCCACAGGGCTTTCTCAGGTGTTTGCCTGAGTTTAAAAGTGATGAGGGGATGGCCAGACTTCCCAGTGATCTGTGCGTGTCAGCAGCACACAGACTCCTTTCCCCGAGGAGAGATGGTACACTCCCTGGCCCCTCTGCTGTTGGAGTGAGCCCGGCTGTCTCAGAGCCTACCATAGTCAGGGGTGATGGGTGAAGAAGTGGCCGAATCTCCCAACCAAAGTCTGTGGAACGAGGGTGCTGAAGGGCAGAGGACTAAGGCAGCAACCAGAGAGCCTCCCCAGGTCGTGGACCTCACCCCTGGGCCCTCCTTCCTTGTCCCGCTCCTCTTCCTCTCTGACCTGAGCAGTGAGGCTCTCTGGAAGAGTCTGGTTCCTTACCACCATAGGAACCATTCCTGCCGGAGCCAGGGTAGAAAAGCTGCGCAGAGTCACCCTCCGCTGGAGGCTCCCCGACCAGTGCTCAGGTGGCTTAGTGAGGCAGGCCAAGCCCTTACCGTTGTAGGAGAGGCGAGGTTTGCTCAGACACATTATAAAGTGCATTTCCATCTCATCAGAAGCCACGGACTTGGAGCAAATGGGGCACTTGAAACCTGAAAGAGAGGAGAACAGGATGAAATGTTTTCTCCAAATCCAGTATATCCACAATACATGTGGACACTCTCAACTGACTGCAGCCGTGTGGGGTCAGAGTCAACATGGAGGATGACAATCTGGACACACCCTAAACCCGAGTTCTCCTCCATTAAGTCATTTGAGATTTTGCCTTTTTATTACAGCCGTTGACTCTCAGCTCTCACGAGGGCTCTCCCTGTCATATGACCCTTGCTAACATTTAATAGAGGTCACTGATAACTGATTTGATTTTTATTTCCTTTCAGACTCTTTCTCAAGGGGGCCTAGTGGACAGTGGAGACAGGGAGGCACCAAATGAAACGGCTGAAGAGTCAGCCTTTGCCTAATAGTTTCCCATCCTTCTGCCTCAAGGCCTTTAAACCATGTGGCTGGGCCACCTGGAGAGGAATCTCTGCAGCCACCAGCACCTCCATCCCTCACCCAGAGCACCCTTTGCCTCCCTCCTGGCCAAGGCAGCTGTCCTTCAAGAAGTGTGTGAGCTGCAGGTTGGCCTTCCTAAGTTCTCCCAAATGCTACACCAGCCTTGGCCAAATGCCACTGGGAATAACAGCTATTTCATGGTGCCAGGTGAATACAGTGTATTGTGATCCTGCCATTTTATTCCCAAGGAAGTGTGGACTGCTTATAAATCCACGAGTTTCAACCAATGCAGAATAGTATCCCTACTGGAGAATTTTGGTTGAGAATCTTCTGAGTTGAACTCCATTAAGCAAACCTAATCCCTTCAGCTATTTTCTTCATACAACACAGAAGAACTATCTTCCAATGTTTTCCATTTTACTTTCATTGAAATCATTTTCAAGTGGATCAAAACTTTTCCATATAAATTCTACCAAAAAGATCCCCGGCCATCGAAATCTTATTTATCCGTCTGCATTGAACTGTACGTATCACAGCTACTCCCTTTTGTGACGGTGATTCCTACCTGCCCAGTCTGCACTTCCTAATGCAGCACATCTAACTACAGCTGAACTTCGAACAACATAGGATCGAACGGCGTGGGTCCACTTACATGTGGCTGCCCTTCTGCCTCTGCCACCCCTGAGACAGCAAGACCAGCCCCTTCTCCTCCTTTTGAGCCTACTCAACGTGCAGGTGACAAGGATGAAGGACTTTATGATGATCCACTTCTACTAAATGAATAGTAAATATATTTTCTCTTATGATTTTCTTAACATTTTCTTTCTTCCTTTCCATTTTTTTTTTTTTTTTTTTTTTTTTTTAAGAGACAAGGTCTTGCTTTGTCACCAAGGCTGGAGTGTAGTAGCCCAATCATAGCTCACTGCAGCCCTGAACTCCAGGGCTCAAGTGATCCTCCTGTCTTAGCCTCCTGAGTAGCCTGGGACTACAGGCGTGTACAACTGTGCCCAGCTAACTGTTTAATGTGCTTGTAGATACAAGTTCTCACTGTGTTGCCCAGGCTGGTCTCAAACACCTGTCCTCAAGTGATCATCCCACCTCAGCCTCCCAAAGTGCTGGGATTATAGGTGTGAGCCCACCGTGCCCGGCCTTAATAACATTTCCTTTTCTCTAGCTTACTTTATTGTAAGAATACAGTACGCAATACATATAACATACAAAATATGTGTTGATCAACTGTTTGTTATTGGGAAGGTGTCTGGTAAACAGCAGGCTATCAGTAGTTAAGTTTTGGGAGAGTCAAAAGTTATATGTGAATTTTTGATTATGTGGGGGTTGGTGCCCTGAACCCCTGAGTTGTTCAAGTGTCAATTGTACTGTCGTAAAGATTTGACTCTACTGTAAATTTTTAGTCAAAATTTTCCAGACACAGTTTTCCTTGATGCTGGAAATAACTATCTGCAGCATTTCTTATGAAACAGATAAAAGGCTGAAAGCTCAAACCCACTGTTAGCTGTTCCAGGACAGGGGAGTTCACACCTTCACTGGTGACCTTCATGTGGGAGCCTCCCTAACTCTGTGTGGAAAGCCGTGACTCTGGCAGCTGGCTGGTGCTGAGACAGGAAGCACGCCAGCACAAGCACTTGGCTTAAAGTCTTCTCCAAATCCTCTTTTTTTTCAGTGACAATGCTCTGAACTATAGGACCAGACGGAAAATTCAGGGTCTGGCTAACTATGGACCAAGTGGACACTTGACTCCATGGCGCTGTCCCTATCCCCCAGCCACCTTCCTCAAAGGTTCTTAGCATCTAAATATCTCAGCTAAAATGTCTTGCAAATGCTACCAACCCAAGGTCTCTGGCCACGCTTTGAGAAAAGGCTGTGTTTCTGACCTCTGGGTAGTTACAAATCCTTCAGTAACAAAACCAGAAGCCTTAAGATAAACGGGGAGGTTTCAGTTTTCTGGCAGAGCTGGATCAAAAAAGCCCCAGGCTGATTATTTCTAACCCAGCTTAGAAATGTGCTGACCGACCCAGTGTCACACACTTGATGGAGAGATGAGGACCGAACGTGAGCCTCACAGAATGAAGGTGCCCTTCACAGCTAACCTAAGTCCCTCTGCTTTCATAAAGTTTTTTTTTTTTTTTTTAATTCCAAAGACCAAGGTTTTGCAGCCCTTTAAATGACTACAGGACACCTGTACTTTAAACGTGCTAAGCTGGCACCTGTCTGCAGGCTGAGGGCTGGCGCTGTGGCAGGCAAGGACAAGTGTGCTCCAGAACAGGTCTCCACCACCGGGCCCCAACATTTTCGCTGGGAAGTGGTAAAAGTGACCTGTGACTAGTAAGAAACCTTGCACCTCGCAAGTATGTGCTTTCCTGATAACTCCGAACAGATTCAAGGTTATCCTTATAATAGCATCCTTCACTTCCCTGTATTCCAACATGATTCCTTGAGTGCAGGAGCGGGGGTCAAATTACAGCTAAGGTGTTGGGAAAGTAGGCCGCCCAACAAGGCCTACAAGGGAATGTCACCAGACATCTATGTCCTAGGAAAAAAATAAACGTTGAGATTCAGGTTTAGAGCAATCCCCTCATTATACAGAGGAGGGAACAGGCCCCAGTGAGGACTTTAACTCGCACATGGAGACTAGCCTCCATGGGATTTCTTAGCTCCCAACCTAAAGTTCTTTCCAACAGGGAAGAAAGAGTGGAGCACAGGGCTTTAACAAAGAGGTGGGCTGGGAAACATTACCTCTGGAGGGGAAGCACCACTGTAGTAGGAAGGGACCTATGTTTTAACTAAAGCAGGTTCAGTAACACCAGCAGCATCTATCTCCGGGTATTTCTCTTTTATTTTGGTAAAGCTAAAGCCATAACTCAGGGTCTGTTACGTGAGTGGGAAATGGCATGATGGCCTGGGCTTTCCAGCATCAAGGCCCTGGCAAGTAACCTACCCTTCCCTGGACCTCAGTGTCCTCATGTGAAAAATGGGGGACTTTACCTCACTCTTGCAAGGATTAAATGAGATAAGAAACACGAAAGGCTGCTGGAAAGAAGCAAATCAAATGCAGGTGGTACCGTCATCATCATGGCTGGACGAAGGAACAGGAGGGTGAGAGGAAGGATTTAGGGGACTAAGGGCTCAACTGACGGGCCAGCAGGAGCCTGAGCACGGGTTCACTGGCCACAGGCCGTGCTGTCTGCTGAGGGTGGCCAGCGGCCACCACACTTCTGCTCTTCCCTGCTAGATCCTCTTCTTGTTTCCTTTGAATTTCCAGAGCACAGTGCACTGCTACTGGCATATTTCCTACCAGCAATGTGGGAACAACAGTCTCTCTTTAACCTCTACAGCTGCAGTCCCCAACCTTGGGGCCGTGGCCCAGTGTCCCCCACCTCCCACCCTGGCCCATCCATGGAAAAACTGTCTTCCACAAAACTTAGGAACCAGGCTACATAGCAGGAGGTGAGCGGTGGGTGAGGGAGCAAAGTTTCATCTGTATTTACAGCCGCTTCCTATCGCTCGCATCACTGCATAAGTTCCACATCCCCCCCACCGCCTCCCCGTCCGTGGAAAAACTGTCTTTCATGAAACCAGTCCCTGGTGCCAAAAAGGCTGGGGACCGCTGCTCCACAGCACCTACTCTTGCACAATAGCAAATAATAGTTTGCATGTATGGAGTCATTATTATGGATAGCTACTGTGCTTTCTTTACATGTATTCTCATTTACTATAATATAAATATAAGGTAGATACTATTATTAACTCCATTTTACAGATGATGACATCAAGGCCCAGAAGATAACCTGTTCAAGGCTAATGTGGCAGAAAGAGCCAGAGCTGGCGCACGACACACAGGAAGTCTGAACACCGAGTCTGCACCTTTGCTCACCGTGCTGTGCCACTGGCCGCCTAGTACAGCAGGAGCAGTTACATGTCAAAAAGAACATAAATACACTAAACATAAATTCTAGTTACCAAAATTTTAGTCACTAAATACTCATTTCCGAACCTCTCACATTGTTCCAGCAATATCCCCGTAAGTACCCACAGTTCTGGATAATCTCCCAACCTGAAACAATGGATAATTTTTTTCTGGGAACTCAGTTAACATGGAAGACAGAGTTCTGCTTTCCACTTGGCCCTGAGCCTACGGCACTGGTTGTAAGACACTGAGTTTGCAAATTACCTTTTAAATGGAAAATAAAGGGCAAAAGGTAAGAGGGACAGAAAGACACATAGAAGAGCTACAGGGAAAAGACTAATGTCCCCACCTTCTTTCCTGAAAGGTCATTCGATGATCAGGATGGATTCTACCACTCTACTGCCCCCAATCTTTTCTCACAATTGTCCAGTCATGATTCAAGGCCAATAGCCCTACAGAATGATAAATACTGTGATATTTATGAGCTATCTGAGGTTAAAATACCCAAGAAATTTTGATTCCATTTTGGAAAAAAACCCACACCAAATAAAATCAACCCTGCAAACAAAAGATAAACCAAAGGCCTGCAAAGTCATCCAGTACCCATGATTTTGTCAAGTTTCCTAAGAGACTTTCATCAGCACTCAGAAGAGTGGATAAGAGATGTTTTAT